ACTAAAATATGTCAAGTATTATAAGTCATGCCACGACTACTGGTGTGAAACCTTGCAGCAACAACAGTTAGCAGCGTTTTAATCGCTTTCGATCCAAAGTAACTAAAATATGTCAAGTATTATAAGTCATGCCACGACTACTGGTGTGAAACCTTGCAGCAACAACAGTTAGCAGCGTTTTAATCGCTTTCGATCCAAAGTAACTAAAATATGTCAAGTATTATAAGTCATGCCACGACTACTGGTGTGAAACCTTGCAGCCACGACAGTTAGCAGCGTTTGAATCGCTTTGGATCCAAAGTAACTAAAATATGTCAAGTATTATAAGCATTATTATTGGCTCAAACAATAAACGAAATTATAGCCATTAGTTATTATAAATAAAATAAAAAAACAAAAAAGAAAATGGTTTGATTTATTGACAGCCATTTTTTGTTTCTTTATTCAATTAGTTAAGTTTCACTAGATAAAATTTACTGTTATTCTCTTCCCCCCCCCCCTTTGTAAGGGCTAGCTTGGCGTAGTCGCCAGCGTCCCGGACTGTGAATTAAGGAGTAGGTGGCTCGCGTCCCCTTGGGTAAATTTTAACTCCTCCCTCTTTGGTGCCATGGGTGCGTTGTAAGACTGACTGTAAAATTCCACTATTCGATTAGATTAGCCTAAGAGTTTGCGGTGGGTGCTGTTGACTAGTTGCCTTTCCTGTAATCAGTTCTATCAGGAACAAGGGACGGCTACGCACAAATAGCCATTATGCAACTTTGCGCGAAAATTCTAGAAAACAAAGTTATAAAACGAGTTATTTGATCGACTATCTCGCGCTAAAACAAGGTTTTGCAATTAGGTCAGTTCCAAACTTCTTACTCTTAACCCTGATATAAAGGTATTTGTTTACCGCCGTGAAGTACATGTGAATTTCGTTAAGTAACCCAAACCCAATTTGTTTTAGAATAAGCAAGAACATCACACAAATAATAGGTTATAAATTACTTACATGATGTTCTCCAATCCTTGCCAGGCCGCCATCAAAGAACACTGTAGCGTTATTTATTTTTTCACAGAGGGAAGAGAGAGAGAAATTACGTAAGTGCCGTAGTCATTTTAGGAGTTATTACAACACAGCTCACTTTGCCTAGTAACAAGAAAAATAATAATAATTGGTTGCTGAAGTAGAAGGAAATAACGCTTTCTGAAGCACTGCGAGGAACAATTATGTCTGCAAGATTTCATTGAGTTATTCTTCAATGTGGCAATCTGTTCGATTATCAGAAACAAAGAGGAAGTATTTAATAAATAGCGTGGAGTTCTCAACACAGTTTTGGTCGAATCTTATTTTGCTTCTTGTTTCCTTAATATCAAAGGCTGTATACGCTACCGACGTGTTTATATCCAACGGTAAATTGCTCGTTTCTGTTTCTTCGGTAACATGTTAATCTGCTTGTCTCCTTGTATCGATCGGTAGCATTGAATAAGAACTGTATAGGATAAACTTGTGTTACTGTGGCGCACGTGTTTCATATGGTAATCTGTTTCTTCAGTTTTTGGCTTGATTCGATTCTTCTGTGTCTACTTTGTGGTCGTTACTGTAACTGTGACTAAAGCGATGTAATTAGAAATTAACTCAAATTGCTACTTAAACTGTAATAGGTTAACGATGGACGGGGTCGATCTGAACGTAAAATAGCCTACAATTTTATTCTGATGTGTCGTTTCTCACTGAAGTTCATGTACAGAATGTGCGTCGTTCCACACTAATGTTCATGTAAATAATATGTATCATTCCTCACCTTCGTTCGGGTAAGGAATGTGCGTCGGCCTTCGCTAACATTTTTGTAAAAGCGTGTACATATCTGTGAAACAAAAGCAGACCAAAATCTTCAGGCCATCGAACCTCGCATTAGCTGACTCGCTAGAGCCAGGTTAAATAAACCAGAAATTCTAAGTCTGTAAGATGAATAATCGGTATGACCGAAGGTTCATGTTTGGTGTCGTTGTGTAGCCTCAGATCGTTTCTGAACTATTAGACGAAAGCAGTACTCTTTATCTGTTTTAGTGCAAAGCTACACAGTGTACTATTTGCGCTCTGTCCACTGCAGAGAATCGAACTTCGGGTTTTAGCGTTGTAATTCCTCGAACTTACCGCCGACCCACCGAGAGGGACGTAGTTCCTGCGAAACTGAAAGTATTACTGTTCTTATTTCGTTTTTATTAACGCTGTTACTGTGTTACTAACTTGTTGGTTTAGTTTCACCTGGCAACCTGCTCGTGTGACAGTAGTTAATTTTCATTCTCAAACAAAATTACATTTTCCTTTTCTTGTGCTGGTCTAAGTAACTCGGACGGTTCCATATAAATTATAACGTGTGTGAAATATCGTGTGATTTGACAGTTTATTGAAAAAAACAAAAACATCATCTAATAATCAAAAACAGAAGGGAAAAAAAACGTTTATGTAACACACAAACACCACTTTCAACTAGCAACTTTTTTGGTGCTAAAAGTGTTGCGTGTGATATTAAATTATGCCAAAGAAATATTATCTGTAAAATGCGTTTTCCAGTTTCGCGTACTTAGAATAGGTGATACCAGAATAAAAAAAACAAAAACTTCCTACACGTAGTGTTTTTGCGACAGGTGTTTTATCTCGGACAGCTAGTTACCGAGCGTACGAAAGTCAAATAATAAATGAGTATACAGTTGTTTATCTGTTAAAATCTCTAATATCAATACACATATAAACTATAAAATAGTTGTACTATAGCAAAGGGTTTATGGGTGAATGCGCAAATGATTCCTGCATATATTGATGACACATTTCGTTGGAATGTGACAGACCAGCTGTTTCATCCGTTGTTAGTCTTTAACTAGTCAATCACCTCCACCGTTCACGTAGTTAATTGAAAGCACAATTTTATTATGTAGTTATAGTTATATGTACAGTATAATAGCGGAAAAACACGCTTCGGCTGCGATACGGAATCGTATATTCTGATAAATTCAGCAACTAACAGGATTTAATTCCCGCCTCTCTATGCAATTAAACAGTTTTTTTAAGACCCAGTGTTATCAATTTTCTACCTTGTATGCCGCCATATTCTGTCCCTGTCCAAATTATATTCTACATCTCCTTGTTCTTAATTTTAAAAACAACGGGACGAAAATAAATTAATATACTGAATTAGCCAATCTAGTCAAAACAAAACTGAAGGAAATATTACATGCTTCGTTAGATTTGTTGTTGTAGGCCTATACTACTCTTTTGATACGGTAAACTTGTTTACGTCACACGCATGCGTATTACGGGCAAAGTGATATGACCTGGCGGAAGTTTGGTCGAAGAATTAATTTCTTACACTTTATGTATTTTAAAACCCAAAGTTCCTAATTGTCTGGTCTTGTTATAAAGGATGCTCCTAAACTTATTGATTGAGGGAGGAATATCTTTCTCATAGAAGTACTTTATTTATTCTCTAAATATAGCTAACAGAAAATGGTTTATTGGCAAGAGTTTATACTTGGCGTATAAGCATTTAATGTGACGCTTTCCGGGAAAATCGAGAAACGTATACAATTAATAAAAGTTAATAGAAGAGCCACAGTATTTGCCACTTCCAATGTTCTTGTCACAAAAAGTTGTTCTAATAATAACGGGTTTGTAGTTTAGTCATACTCGTTTTTACATATAAACTGAATAGTGAAACAGTTTTTCTTCTCGCATCTTGCGGAACAACATTAATTTCAAGCGAAATTAAGAGGTCCTTTTTTAGGCTTAACTATACTATAACATCTTTCAGGTAAAGATGCCATCACCTTTTGATTTTTCCTGTTAAGTCTCTCAACTTTGCCTTTCACTAGATTGTTAGTAGCATTTTTCAACTGATGCCACAAATGTTGTATTATAGATTACCATCTGGATACCACCATCTACATAAACCCGGTGTTTTGCCATGCTCTTCCAAATTTCCCCGGACAAAAGACAGAATGATTTCCATTGGCCCGGCATGGCCAGGTGGATAAGGCGCTCGACTCACAATCTGAGGGTCGC